ATCGACTTGTAAAGTTTGTGAAATAGTTGGCTCGGTGCAATACAAGAGGGATGGGCACGCCGTATTTTTTGGATACGGTAGGCACGGAATGCGTGTAAGTGGGACTGCTGCCCGCTACTATGGTGTCACGAGAATTGAGGGAATTCGTGAGCCAGGGGAGTGTAGCCAATCTAGGGGTGAGGGTGAGGGCAGTCACTTGACATGCGTGAAAAGCTGGAATGTGTGAGTTACTTCATAGCGTCTCGTCACGTCATAGAGTAGCGGGCAGCAGTCCCCATTCACATTTCGCAAATACCGTATTTAAAAAATACCATGCCCATCCTACTTGTATTGTACCGTTGGCTTTACTTCGTTATTTGTTATGTTGACTCACCTGGTAATCAATTACAGCTTTAACGATGCCATTCTGCCAGAGGATGTTGCTGGAATACAAGTCACCATGTACGAGAAGATGGTGGAACGCTGAAGAAGAATTTGTTGGGTGTTATGGTGAGTTATTTTAGTGTCCTACTTTTTAATTAAAATTTTCTCATTTGAGGGTTGATATTATACGTAAACAGTATTAGTATGCCACTAATTATTTCTTCGGGAAGAAAATTAGGAATGATTTTAATCAATCCGATAAGATTTGATGGATGTGAATTTTCCTCTCTTCCAATATTCATAATATCATTATGAGGAACTATAAAAATATATTCATAATTTCAGGCCGAAAATAATGTAATAGTAGTGATAAGAGCAATGTTAGAACGCTGTCTCTTTGATGATCTATCTGTAATTCGGCAACAACCATCGTGACAATCATTTCAGAATTACCTACGACATTCTGAATGTAGGCGCCTGATCATTGTGTGATCCACGATATGTGGAAGAAGCTGGACGAGTTCCCGAAGCGCTGACGTCATTTCCGGTGCCCAAAGTGCCATACGATTGAGTCGTTGAGTGAGTGTCTAGAATAGTTTTTATTATTATAATTCAGCCTGGAAATACTTTTTCAAAACACATCGACGATTATTTCACTGAAACAAGTAATGCAGAAGTATTGCAATTTTTGCGACTCACTACCAAGGGGATCTTATGATATGCATCAATGGAGACGCGATGCATCTGGGCCACTTACCACCGCTGACGGGTTGGTGCCTGCGTCTCACTTGTCTCCGTGCTATTTCGTCCCCAAGTTTATTCCCGAGTACGCTTTCTTTTTTTGTTATTCGTTTACAAAAATGATTATAAAATCACCTCCAAGCTCAGCGTCGTTGTTGAGAGTAGTTCGAAGACATTAGTGTTCAGTCGGGCGCAAACATCATCAGGTATTTTAGCACAGCTCTTTTGAATGTTAGTGTACAGCTTGAGAATCTGCAAGGGTGGCAAAGTCTATTTGAGAATGCAAAAAAATAAGCGGTCAAGAAAAAAAGGGATCTGAGTGCTATCCAATGGCGCTGTGGAGCTTCAAGGTCGGTTATTTTCGAAAGTCGGAAATCGCAACGGGAGAAATTGAATACGCACTAGGTCTCCACCTAAGGTCGTGCCCTAAGGAAAACTGTGGAAATTTTTCGAATAACATCTATTGAATGACAGTAACAAACATAAATTAACGTAACCTAGAATAAACTTCAAAAGCTCAAAAAATAACTAAAAGCTAAAATAGCTAATAGCACTACTTGAAATATCCGCTATCAGCCTGTGGCAATGGCAACTCAAAAAAAATTTCAAAAAAATGGCTGATGTATGAGCATAGTCGGAGGCCTTATGTACAGGGCCCGGAGCTTGTTCAGAGCTTCATTTATCCACAACGCTACGGAAAGTGGGTCGAGAAGTTCCTTGTCGAGCGCATGATGATTTTAAGTGTGGAACCGGGAGTGGACTTTTTGTAATGTTAACTGCGAAGAGCTCTCTAGAATGGCCATCATTCGACTACCGAGAACTCGTGCCCTTCTTCAGCAGCACTAAATCCGATGAGATACCCTCTGTTCCAATAAACTAGAAGCGCGTCGAGTGCAGACCACATACCACAAGTGACGCGGCCTCCACAAATGTAAATATCTTCTGCCATTAAAATGCAAATATTTCTGCCAATAGAAATGATTAGCTTGTTGCAGTTGTATTCTATCAGTTGTCACTAATTACAACTCATTTACCATCTAATCAGCTATCACTATGAATCACCAATTACCAGATCTTACTTGGAGGTCGTCGTCACTTGTGGTGTGTGGTCTGCACTCGACGCGCTTCTGGTCTGCTGAATTAGAATTCCATTCTACAAAGTCACTCAAACTTCGGTTTTCAGTGGTAGGGATTGTGCTTATCTGTCTCCCCTGCAATGACCTCTTTGCAGCTGTACTCGGTAAGCCGCGACTGGGGACTGTGCGCCACCGACTCATACAGAACTAACCGATTTCATTTCTTCGATAGATATATTCTCGTAGACAGGGCGGGTGTGGGCGCCTTCCAAATGCTCCATACAAATAATTCCCTTGTTATCGTCACCGGTTAG